TAAAGTTAGGTGAAATTTCTCTCTTAGTATTCAGTTTGTTCAGTTTTGCTTTGTTTAAGGCATTGGCTTTTATATAATTTTTGAAAGTCAGAGTAGACAAAATAGATTAAAAAGCCACCCATTCAATCATGCATCAGAGAGCTGTTTATAAAAGCTGTAGTGCTTACCCTGTACTCCCCAGTGATGCCTTCAATAATAAACAGATCTTGTTTTCAGTTTTTGCTCCTATCACTCACCATTTTCTCCTTTGGGGGAAGCTCTTGGTTGCTAGGGATTACTTCAGGAAGTTTTATCCCATGGGTCAGCAGGTCAGCTAGATACTAGAGAAGAGAGGGTCAAGAAAGGGAGACATGATTCTGTCCTCAGTTCCACCACTTAGCACTAGACCAAGGAGTTGAATCATTTTGAACTTCCGTTTTCATTTTCATTAAGACAGTAACAAAAATATTTGCCATTAAAACTTCGGTGAATGCTGAGGGCAGAGGCTTCAGATGAATAACCCCCAAGGCAGGCAATTTGAAAGTCACACAATGCTTTGGAAATATAAGTTCCTACTGTAGTGAAAAAATGAAGATGATCCATTCCAGAACATCTGAGGAGATAGAGGTATTGAAGAATATCATAGAACAAAGTAAAATAAATTGAGAAAAAAATGTTCCTGGAGCCATCATTCATTACAAAATCTTTTAGCGTTATGCCTCCATTATCTAGAAAGGGCATCTGTCAACTTCAAATCCACAGGTCTTTCCACTTTGGTTTTATTAGCTATATGGTAATTGATATGAATAAAAGATAGTTTCAATTTAATAGCAATAACCACATTTACTGGCAGAATATATTTTATGTCGTTGGTAGTCCATTTGTGTGCCCAAAGAATTTGTCAGTCTACAACAAAGAGCACAACTGTGGCGAAACTTGATGAGGGAGTAACCAACCAGAAACAAGGATCCTGAAATAATAGGACAGAATGGACAGGCATCATTGCCAGAGTATTTGAGATGATGTTTTGGGGAATGTTTAAAGAGATTTGAGTAAGAGTCTGGTGTCTTGTTCCTTAGCTCACTTTATAGCAACATAGTTCGCACATGAAGTTTTATATATAATTAAGTAATTAATTAGTATACATGTCATGTTTTTTTATATATAAGGTAAATTTTTATACAAGACCATAATTCTGTATATGTTGTTAGTCTCAAGAAGAGTAATAAAGTCTTTGGATGTGTGACTGGAAAGAGAAACAGCATCATAAAGCCAGGGCTTTGGAGTTTACAAATAAAATCAATAAATAACAGTAATTATCCAAGCAACACTAACTAAGGAAAGGCTGAGTTGACAACAAAAATTAAATTCCTGTAAACTAAGCATTAAAATGTACCAAAGTTTTAAGAATTTTGGAAAAAAGTTTGAACTAGAAAAAAAATTAGCCCTCGTTCTCTTTGAGAAATCATTAAGTCACCTGCCTACAGTTTACTGTGCAACTGCATTAGACTGCTTTGTAGACTTCCTTCGTCATTGCCCTGACATCTCTTAAATCCTTTTCTCCTGCCCTGTTACTCTTCCCCATCACACACGTCCAGAACAGACACAAAAGCATGCATCTTCGTATGCTTAAATCCTGCTCTCACCATCGGTTCTTTCACATGAACTGGGCAATTATGAAACAATAAGCCAGATACACTATTTGTGGGTTGTGGGTTAAATAAGAGGTCATACTTTTACCATCTTGGAAGATAAAGTGTGTTCACTTAATCTTGATTAGTGGTGAGAGTGCAGAGATTTCATTCCTGAAATTCTGTGCTGGTCAGAACTCAGAAAACCAATGTCAGCTGTTTACAAACTTGAAAATATTGCAGTGTGAAATGCCACAACAGTCATTTTGTCTTCACAGTCAAACTAATCATTGTTTTGCTGGTCAAAAAGAAATTTACATGGTACTGATTATTAATAAATGTAGTGTGATGTTAGCACTTCCATACTGAGAACAGTGAGAAACTAGCAGTTAGATATCCTAGGTTCGGAAAAGAAAGCATGTATTGTGTTATTGCATAGCTTAGAACTGAACATCTTCAATGAATTCCAGAAATATTCTCAAAAAAGTTGATTTGTAATCCACATTTAAAGACAACAAATTACTTTTTTACTTGAAAACATAAAGCAAAATAGTTTCCTCTGGGATTCCAGGCATTTTCTATCAAACTTAACAGAGAGTCCATGCTTATTTTTTATTTTTTTATCTTTTTTAGTTTATTGGTACTTTTTTATTGAGTTTATTGGTACATTTTAGGTATACAGTACAGTTGCATTCATTATTAGGATCTTGTACCTTTACATGACAGGTCTTGGTTCCCATTTTTTCCCCTTGTGCCTGCCCTTCCTTCACCCCCTGTCCCCTCGCCTTTTACAAACACTTTATTTCCATTTTTTCATTTTCTCATATTTTTTTCTTTTACTTTTTTTTTTTTTTTTTTTGTACCAGGGATTGAACTCAGGTCCTTGCGCTTGCAAGGCAGTCTTTTACTTTTTAAGTATATAATACAGTTACATTCATCATTAGGATCTTGTACCTTTACATAGCAAATCTTGGTTCTCATTTTTTCCCCATACATCTTTCCCATCTTCACCTCCTCCTCATTACTTTTCTCTCATTGCTGAGACAAAATATCTGATATTCAAAGTTAAAGGGGGACATGTTTATTTAGCTCACAGTTTGTAAAAGTATTAGCCCATAATCTGCTGATTCCAAGGCAGAGTGGCATCCCAAAGCATAAACAATTCATGGTGGGCAAAAGGTAGCAAAAGCCACAAGGCACAGTTCTTTCTGTCCCTTATGTCTTATCTAGGCTACTTAAAGTGAGTAGTACTCACACCCTTAATCCTAGTACCGTACTGTGCCATGAATCAACCCCAGCATCAGATACTCTAGATCCAGCCACCTCTGAAAAAGTCTCATCTATGACTGCATGAGGCTTTGGAGGGACATCTAGACACAAGCCATGACAACTATGCAAGAGAGCAAAACAAAGGAAGTAAAGAAAAAGCAACATCATCAGAGTAGAAAATTGTAAATCTAATTAACTTCCTCTAAAGGCAGGTTTGCCCGTGAGAACCCTCAAGGTCTTTATTCACTAATAAATATAGTACCAAGAACATATGCATTACTACCATTTTCTGCATAGTAAAATAAGCCATGTACTAGATACTTTGGATCTCTTTGCCCTTTTCAACTATGAAGTTAGAATTATCTAACACAGTGACCATAAATTCACAATACTGGAAGCAATTAAAATAAATTGTTAAACTGGATTTTACATCTACTTTACCCCATCTAATACTGTCATCGTGAAGCTGTTAGTTGTTTGCTTAAAAACAAAAATCACTGGGAACTCCTAACCACTGTATCTAAGGAGCTGTGTATCAGTCTTTTAACGTGGTCTTTCCCTTGATATTGTAGCACAGAGAGTTACTAGACAGGAAACTGGGGGAAATACAAGCAGAGTAGGAGGTTTATAAAGCTATTTGTATGGTGAGAAGAGCCAGAAGGGCTTTTGAAAACAGGCCGGATTTAGAGCTATGGGTTTGTTTTCATTCCATTTTGATCCGAGGAGAAGTGAAAAGAACTAAGTACAGACGACTCAATCCTCTTGGTGCAGTTCATTATGTACTCATGTTGGTATAGGGTAGAAAAGGCTCTTGGAGTCAGCAGTCCCTGGCTCAGAACTTCTGAAGGTGCCACTGAATTAAGTCAGATATTAGAGCCTCTGTTTCCATATCTGAAAATCTGGTACCGCATGAAATATCTCATACAAATGTGAAGATTCAGCTAATAGTTTTGAAAGATATTGCAAACTGTAAAGTCGTATGTATATTATATTTTGTTGTTGCTACCAATTTTTCGCTTATTTTTGTCATGACCAAAGTGGTTTCTCATAAAGTATGAAAGTATCTCTATAGCACAATACACCATGGATTTAGGAGAGAATTGGGTAAAATTTTATAAAGTCTAATGAAATGTCACAGGCTGATTTGTATTTTTGGTGATTTTATACATTAATCACTGAGTAACCTTCTAGTTTTCCAAATAAAGATAAAGGGAGCAGTGATGACATTTGTAATCATCTACAGAAAGGGACTTATTTAAATTCTTCACAGATGGAGAGATATCAAGGGTAAATCATTATACCCACATTTCTAATTTTAAGAAGCTTTGAGGGTGTTTGTGGATAGTAAGGAGCAAACATTGTTTTGCATATAGAATTAATCATAAATTTACATACCACGATCCCAAATTCTCCAGATAAATTGGAGGATTTTCCAGAGGCCATCTCCAAAGGATTGAGAAATTCATGAAAGGAAAATAATGTTACGCTACATGGAATTTATAAACTGAGCAAATTGGTAAAGCTAGGACAGTGACCTTTCAAAGAGGATAAATGAGATTTTTTTGTACCTCAGAATTTATTGTGGCTTAATGCTTTAGAACGGATAACATGCGACATATACTCCGCAGCTTTCCTTTCTGTAGAGTGGGAGGAGCTGACAGTAGGCGGGGATGGCTTTGCAGGTGTCCCCAGACCTGCTCTTGGCTCTGCCCTCAGACTGTTCCGTGCCAAGAGATGGGGGGCAAGTTTTCTATATCAGTTCCATCCTGGCTAAGAGGGGAAATTAGTTCAGCTGTCGCAGAAGACAGCAAAGTTGTCCCATATCCCAAATCTCTTAGACACGGCATATTTTTGCCCTCTGCGACTATGGAGCAGGAACTGAAGATGTAAAGAATGACTCTCATTACCATCTGCTTTGTTATTCATTCCATTTCCTTCATCTTCGATTTGGGGTGACAGATGCCTTCTGAGGCTGTGGAAGCTATCCCTCTCCATACCCAAATACTGTCCTTTGGGGGACATTTCCTCTCTGCAGCTGTTCCGTGGCATCTCAACGGTGTGTAATAGCTGACAGTATGTCACACAATGCCCTCATGTCACCTTCTCTCCTTCCTTTCACAGCTGGTGCTACGTACATCTTTGGGAAAAGTGGTGGCCTCATCCTTTACACCTGGCCAGCCAATGACAGGCCCAGCACGCGCTCTGACCGCCTGGCTGTGGGCTTCAGCACCACTGTGAAGGATGGGATCTTAGTACGCATTGACAGCGCTCCGGGACTTGGTGACTTCCTCCAGCTTCACATAGTGAGTACCTGGCCTTGGCCTGGAGTCTCTTGTTTTCCTGGTGGTCTGAGTTTGGTGAGTCCGATAAATGCAGCAGAACAACCTGCGTAGACATGGTAAAGGTGCACTTTTTAAAATTGCCTTCACTTTTATGAACCAGAATGCTTAGAATGCCTCAATGATTAAAAATGACAAGCTGTTTCTTCTACTCTTTGAATATAAGGAACATTCCCTTTAGGAGCCGTGTGGCTTGACCTGCCATAAAACATTTGCCGACCACTGGGGTACAGGGGGAGATTTACCTGGTGTGGTTCATTTACCTGGTTCAAGTAGCAAAGACAACTTGAATGCAAATTATCTCCTAGGCTGGGGGTTGGCGAACTGTGTAAAAGGCCAGTTAATAAATATTCCAGGCTTTGCATTTGATAGCATCTGTCAGAGCTCCTCCATTTTGCCACAGGCAATACATGTCTTAAAGCATGTGATTATATTCATTTGTGAAAATTGGCTGCAAGCTGTACTTTTAAAAACCCTGTGCTTGGTTACCGATGTCCCTGTACAGATGTAAGGAATGTGGGATAGAAACCAAGGTTCTGACTTCAGTACCAGAGTGAAAGGGGCACCAAGAAACCAAGTACCTGAGAGCTGAGTTGCCGGTTCATGCTGCACATCTATCATTTTGCTTTAGTTCTTGTACTTGTGAGCTAAATAAGACTCCAAGCCCAGTCCCCACAGATCGATCATAAGAACACAGTACAAGTGTAAGAAATTAAAATGATTTGAAGGAAAATATTACTTTATTATGAGGATAGAAAATATTTTTATAGCAACAATTAGCCCATTTTATCACCTGTGTAGTCTTCAGTTAAGAAAGTAGGCAAAAGAAAAATGATTTTTATCCGTAAGTACCCCAAGTGCAGCTACCAAGAGCAAAGAGAGGAATTGTTCTCATTAGTTACCAATGTCAGGGCCAGAAAGTATGTATTTAATTTGGAGTAATAAGAATTCAGTTTTAATAGCAGGGGGGAAAGCCATTAAGAGAGAGAGACAAAAAAAAAAATCAACAGATCAACTAGGGATTAGTCTGAATCTCTGAAAAGGAAGAAAAGGAACATTAGATGGGAGTCTCTGAGCCAGGTTTTTTTAATGTGCATATCCAAAGAGGGGAGCAGAGTGTGGGATTTCATTGCCGATCTCTGGAGATGGAGATGGCTGGACAGAACCACAAGTATCAAGCGCTGTGTTTATGGCAGTGCCCATTCCTAGCACTTGATCCTCCAGCATGTCTTGGAGCGGGGAGCTCAGAGGCTCAGTGAGAAGGTGGTCTGGACGCAGCAGGAGCCAGAGCAAAGCAAGACTCTTCACAGAACTCCCAGGAAGGACTGGTGAGAAGGGATCCCCTCAGAATGTGGAAGACAGTCTTAACTAGAGTTGCACTTTTGAAATTCTTTCTCAGACGCCTCTGGAACCATATGGTGTTATAAGCTTGAGTTTAAACATTGTAAAAAGCCATGCCAAAGAGCAAAAAGGAAAGCAGCTATAGTTGCTATACTTTGTCTTTATTTGGCCTCTAACAACCACCATCATTTACAAAACTCTGTGAGATTTATGCTGCCCATAACTTAATGACTATTTCATGGCATCCATAACTAAGCTATTATTACCGTCTCACTTGCATTTTCATGATGATTTATCTCCTTTTTCTTTCATTCAGTGTAACTTACAAGGAAAAATATGATTTGGCACAGACATGAGCATCTTTTAGAATCAGACAATGTACTTTATCTGATAATTTTTTCCCATTTCTGTCTTATAGAGATAGAACTTTAAGGGGAGAGGTTTCTTTATGTTTGATAGCTTACTTGAAATTGGCAGTCTTTTAACGAAATTGGTATGAGGATTTTTAGAACTTCACTTCAGTATAGCCTTTTAATATAACTGTTTTATGCCATTATAAATTATTTGGTTTTTGGTGTCCAAAAATGAATGGTTCTACACATATTTTGGGATGCAAGTAATAAATATTTGTTTGCATCCATCAGAGTGTGTACTTTGTTTAAGCATACATGTTAGGTTTGGCATATTATCTTGCTTCTTTTTTTTTTTTTTTAGTACTGGGGATTGAACTTGGGTCCTTGCGCTTGCAAAACAGGCCACCGAACCGCTGATATTTTGCTTCTTTATAAAAGAAAAAATGCTAGAAAATTTCCATTAAAATGTGTAAAGCCCTCTTGGAGAACAACGGACTTATTGCAATGATGTTCCCATTTCCTACACATTCTGGAAAACTGCAACCAGGCTTTTCTTCAAAGCTTGGGTTAGAAATGATACCACTTGATCTTTTCAGCAGAAAAGGCAATGGGAAAATTTACAAAATTCTGAAGTGAGTTTGACCTGTCCATGACCCTCTTAAGCATGGAAATATTTGCCCTTATTGTTTGAAAACAGTTTTAAAAATTATTTCCTAGTGTATTATTTCTTTGTACTGCTTACTATAAATGAAAATAAAGGAATCCAATTAGAAGACTGAAAGACTTGATTACAAAACCAGCTTCTTACTTTGGGCATTTAAGAAGATCCACCAAGCAAGTAAAGCCATAAATAACTAGTCGGATACTCTTATAAGACTTTGGAAATCTATAAAAGTGATTTTGTTTGTTAAATGTTTTGTTCCCTTGTGCTAAAGAAAATTACTCAGAAACAAAGAGGTTAGGATCCATTTGTGAAAGTGAAAAGGATTAGCCCAGAGGTAAATAAGTTCCATTAACCTCTGCAGTTCACAAGAGAACTCACTGGGGAAATACGGAGAGTGATGGCAGGTATGAAGAGGAGGTATGAATATATGTGTTAGTCAGTTCATGCTGCTATGGCAGAATATGTGAAATTTGGTAATGTATGAAGAATAGAAAAAGTTTTTGGTCACAGTTTGAGGGGCTGGGAAATCCAAGAACAAGGTGCCTGCAGAGCTTGCACTCTGCGCTTCCAAGATGACACAGGGAGCCATGCTCCTCAGAGGGGAGGAGGGCCCTGGCTTTGCGAAGTGGCAGAGAACACAGAGAATGAGCCCCTCCTGCAACCTTTGTTACGACAGAGGTTATCTACCTTCCACAAGTTCCCACCTTGCAACACTGACGCATTGGGGACTAAGCTTCTAACATATGAATTTTGGGCGACCGGTCAGAGCCAAGCAGCTGGATAAATTCTGGGAACAAGAGAAGAGGACACAGGTCTGCCTATTGGGAGGGCAATTTCTAGTAGTTCCTGAAGTGTGCAGCATAAACATTAGCACTGTGATAATCATTTTTATCCCCAAGTTAGCTTACTTGAAAGAAAAGAGAGTACCCTTCCGAGAGCTTTGGGAACTCTGACACTGAGATCAGCAGCCACTCTAGGAACAACCCATAAAGCAAGTATGGTTACGAGCTTTATCTTTCCTCTCTCACTTAAAAGCTTTATACTGAGAAGGTTTGTGCAGATAGCAGGAAGGAGAATCTCATAGTTAAGAGATCTGGCTTCCACCAGGCATGTCTGTCACAGGTGCAGAAGGGAGGTTTCGTTGGGTATTCATTGCATGTTTTTCACCTGCTCTAAGCTGTACATGATCCCTCCTATAGGATTGAATTTTCCCTTTTCTTTTCTTTGTGTTTAGAAATCCCTATTCACTATAACCTAATGAAGAAAAACAGTTATCTTCTTAAACCCATATTTTACTGGAAATCCTTGAATGGTTTACTAATTCATTTAAAGTGGTCAGTCTGGAGCTGCAGTGTTGTTCAGTGGTCTGATGTTTATCTGGCATATTTAAAGCCCTAAAGTCTATCCCCAGCACCACAAAACAAACAAACAAACAGCCTGATTATGATGCTCTTCACAGTAGCAAAGGGCATCTGCTGTGGCAGATTTGAGTTTCACTCAGAGCCGGGAGAACAGAGGATAGGTGCTTATGAGGAATTTGGGCACATGCAATAGTATATGCATGGCCGGAATGGGTAAAGAGAGCTGGAAGAAAGAAGACATTCGTGCCATAGGTGAATCTTTAAGCAAAGAAGGAAAAAGGCACCAAGACTGAGTGGGGTATGTGCTAGGGGCATGCTTTCCCTATGCTGCAATTTGCTTAGATTATCTGTTGTTTTAGTCAGGAGTGGAGGTCCTCCCTTCTGTGATGCTTTCTTTTCAAACCAGAATCTTGTCATTTGCCTGATCCTCATGGGGGAATAAGTGGCCTTTGACAGACAGTGACAGATAAAAATTCTCTCACTAAAGGAGGATAGGAGGGCAGGAAAAGAAGGAGGTGAAGGAGGAGGAGTAGGAAGATGACGAGATCAGGACATGACATCAAACGAATTTCGAAATCATTTATTTCACATTAGCTAAAACTTTTCTGTTTAGGGTTCGCATGTCCGTGCTTCAGTTGTTACTTGTAATAGTAATAAAATCATGATGAAATATGCTCAACGAAGGCAGAGAAGTCTTTGCTGAGCAATGTGTACGTGAAATGAGATTCTGCAGAGGACAGAATGTCGTGGTGCAGAGGTGTTTTGTTTTTTATCTTAGTGCTTATTTCAATTATAAATTTTCCTCCACTGAAATCTATTTTTCAGGAGTTAATCTGCTTGATATCTGGGGAGAGACTGCTATTGCTCGTGAGTGACATCTGCCTGTTGACCCTATATCTAAGCTTTCTCACCTCCTTTTACACAGTAGGGTAAAATCGAATAGGACAGAGAAAGGATTACCATGAAGTGCCTGTTACTGCAATCATTCAGCACTTGACAACCTCCTGCAAAATAGAAGGTCGGGGAGAAATGAGCAACAATTAGCTTCTCTTCATGTACTTAATGCTGGGTGGGAAAAAAAAGACATCTTATTAATTTTTTTCCCTCCCTGTGTGCAGTTTATAGTCAATCCTCTTGCATTCATTTTTTAAATTGTGAGCCTTTCAGGAACAGTGAAAATTTGTTTCAGAGCATCTGTTTTGTTTGACAAGAATCTACAACCTTCCTCAACTGTTTCTGTTCTCA